CACCTCAGGACGGGCGACCGCTCTACCACCCTGCTGTGGACAGGTCAGTGACTCCTGGTGGACTGACGTAACACACACACACACTCTCTCTCTCAGCTGAAGTGTTGTAACATGACGCTGTTGTGGATGTGTTAATTGACTTTGCTCTCCATCACCAAAGCTCATCATCCATCCATCCATCTTTACCTCAGAGGGTCATTGGGGGGGGGGGGGGGGGGGGGGGGGGCATGTGTTTGGACTGTAGGCCGGAGACAAACCACACAAACACGGGTGATGCCGTCCCTCACCATCCGTATAACTACCATTCGCAACTTTTATTTGCTTTTGCTTTGGGTGTTGACTGTGCTCTCGGTTGAATCCCTGCTGAAGCCTGAATCACCAGCTGCAGCTTTTTTTGACGCGGCCACAGTTGCAGAGTTTGGTTTGCCAAATAAACGTGGTATAAAAGCTCCTGTATCCTCTGACTCACGTGAGCCCGACAGAAATAACCCAGGACACATTTCTGCGGAAGAAAAAACAACACACACCACTTCCATGCGTGTTCCTGCAAGGTGAACAGTTCTGCAGGTGTGAACACCGTAAGCAGCTCAGAGTGTTGTCGTTGAGGCTGACTGAACTCTACGTTCTCCCGTTATTAGCTGAGAGGATTATTAGATTATCCTAAATGTGTTCTGTTGTTGTGGAATTAGTGGCATTGTGCTCAAACACTGAAATGACTCAATGTTCCCACAGGCTCAGTCAAATTTGATCTAATATAATCGATTGTAATGCATTTTCAATCTGCTCTAATCTAATCTAATGAAGCGTCACTTGAGAACCGCGGGCAGTCGGCCAGTTCCTGAACGTGTCGTCAAAACAACACGTTGCACCCGAGTGTAAAGCTGTTGATGTTTCTATACAGATCTGGTCCTTTATTGATTTTTACTATATTTCACACTAACTGTAGAGGTGAGACATGATTTTACAGCAGCAGCTAAAATGCACAGACATTTTCATCCCTTCCCATGAATGCTCGTCTGATGCCTTTCACTTTCAGGAGTGACTTGCTGTTTCTAAGCGGCATTTTGTCGTGAAAGGACTTCCATTCGTGTAGTTGCTAAGAACCGAACATTCATTGGCTGAATGGTGCTGATGGGGGCAAAATGCCTTTGAGAATCTTTTGAGATGCAAATGTGCAGCACGCTGTATCCTAGAAACTCATGTAATGATAGCGTTTGAACTCTAAAAGGTTCGGAAATGTACTCTGTCCCCAAGTCAACCCCCATCGAACACGACGAGAACGAACCGGTGCAAAGTGTTTGAATGCACGTTGTTCACCTCTGTGTAATGTTACGTACGTTAGTGTTTCTGTCGCCGTCTTCTACGTGTGCGGCTCTGCTTTGTCATCCTGAGATATTTGTATTCCTGTCGTTTTTCTCAGTTTTGTGTTCAAACGTCATCAACACACCCACTCGCTCGCAGTGAATCCTCCAGAGAATCAATCTCCTGCTGTTTTCTCACATGGGCTCATCTGGACATTATCCAGAGTTTCTGTCCAGGGGGGCTGAAATGAGAAAGTCCGGGGCAGATACAGATAATTTGTGGAGAAAAAATGTAACTTTGTGCAGCTTGATTGATTTCAAGGTGGATTGAACAATGAATATTATATTTAATTTCTGCCAGTAGATTTCCCTCAATCTTATACACTGAAAAACAACAGTAGAGTTCATATTATAACTTATAAAACATCCACAGCCATGATGGTTATTAAACAAGTTATTTTTCTCTGTGCCCAAATATCAAGAATTCATGCTTCACTGAGAAGTGTATAAATGTTGACACCTAGTGGTTAAAATGCATCAATGCAAGTGAATTCCACATGATCCTAAGTTGCTGATACACAGTGGTGGAAGAAGTACTCAAACGTTTTACCTAAGTAAAAGTACCACATCAACTTTCTACTTGAGTAGGCGTACCTAAGTACTTGTTTTTGAATATACTTGAAGTATTAAAAGTAAAAGTACTTGCTGAGTGTAGCCTGATCTCTAATGGTACGGTTGACTACATCATAATGGCTCAATTTGAAAGTAGTCATACTTTATTGCATTCCACCAATACCATGCAGTAAATGTCTCTGAGGTTGAACGTGCAGCTTCGTCTGTTCCGACATCTTTAGGGCTCTGAAGCTCTGCAGCTCAGGAGGACCTCCGCACGTGAAGCTCATCATCGAGTGGGAGCACAGGATCAAGGACTGGTCAGTGCATTTTAAATGACAAACCGCTGCAGGCTCACTCTGCATTTTGCTCCGTAAAACTGACATTCATCTACTTTGTGCGTGTTCTCGTGTCCCCGGCTGCAGCCTGTTTGGTAACATTCAGGAGGAGGTGGTGAAAGATGCAGAGAGTGTGAGGAACCAGCAGCAGCAGCATGTCCAGCAGTACAGCTGCACCCTGGACGAGTGCTTCCAGCTCTACACCAAAGAAGAGCAGGTGAGTCAGTGACAAACCTGCATTTGCTTTTAGTAACCCGTCTTTGAAAAGACTGAACGTAGTTTCCTCTGCTCTCATCTCCACCAGCTTGCACCAGATGACGCCTGGAAGTGCCCGCACTGCAAGCAGCTGCAGCAGGGCATGGTGAAGATGAGCCTGTGGACGCTTCCGGACATTCTCATCCTGCACCTGAAGCGTTTCAGGCAGGTGGGAGATCGCAGGAATAAGCTCACCACGTTCGTGCACTTCCCCCTGACGGGCCTGGACATGAGGCCCCACATGGTGAGCCGCAACCACGGCGCCCATCAGCTCCCCCTGCAGCCCGGGTGGAAGCAGTCCCGACGACACGACCTGGCTCCTCCTGACTACCTGTACGACCTGTATGCTGTGTGCAATCACCATGGAGGGATGCACGGCGGACATTACACAGGTTTGAATAACTGACATGAATAGTAATGCAACTTTATTCATTCACAATTTAAATCGTAGTTTATTTAATTTAACAGCATTTTTAACAGAGGCCGTTCATCTCTTTCCTTTGTTATTGTATTTGCAGCCTTCTGTAGGAACTCTGTCGACGGCCAGTGGTACAGCTACGATGACAGCAGTGCTGAGCCTGTTCCAGAGGCAGAGGTGTGCACGCGTGGAGCCTACATCCTCTTCTATCAGAGAAGAAACACCATCCCGCCGTGGTCTGCCAGCTCCTCCATCACTGGTTAGTCCTCTCACATCCTTGTTCAGTTGAAAGACAGCTGGAGAATCAATAATCCCTGAATCCCTGCTCACACATCATTATTTACAGTTAACCCTGATTATTCTTCTTCTCTAATTTCAGTTTGCTATAATTGTTTGATGTGCTGCTTCTCAACAGCATCAGTGCATCACAGTTATTGAGAAATAAATTAATGTTCTCTGTTCTCATTTCCGGGAGTCAGAGAATCAATCAATCAAACTTTATTGATACCTTTCAAGCTCTTTCTATCTTTCAACTGATTGATAAACAAAATTAATTTTAAAAGACTCTTGTGTTCACATCTTGTGCTTCTTTCGCAGGCTCCACCAGCTCCTCCACCTCCGATCATTGGCTGGTCCGACTCACTGGGGGCAGCGAGAGGGGCAGCGTGGTGTCAGGAGGACCTCTCCCTGCAGCGCTGGGGCCCGTACAGGCTCCAGATTCTCCTGAGCTGCCAGTGTTTGGAGATGAACCATCAAAAACAGCAGAAACAAGTGCGTACTTTAGTTTCACTTGATGCCCCTGCACATAAAAAACACTTTTGGTTGCCTTGGTAACAGCAAGTGCATTTCATGGAGCTGAAACCCGACAGACGAGCAGCTGCTGTGTCTCGTTCAGAGTCCAGTCTAACAAACTGACATGGGCTTTATCTGGTAGGCCCACAATGCTCATTGTAAACCTGTTTGTAATGTTGTTCTTCAGAATTATTCCTTGACTTCTACAATATACTCTCACTTTTTATTGTTTGTGTGCTGGACGTCGTGTGCAGAGCCTTTTTAGAAACGATGGTGCAGAGTGAAGTTGGCAAACTTTGTGTTCATCCCACCTGGTTTATCCCACATACATTACATACAGGACATGTTTGGTCAACATCATTTTTCATGTGTGTCTTTTTCCGACAGACGGGTTTGAAGCCAAGCCATTTGTCCGTGGGACCCAAGGCAGGAGTGTCAGCATGAGATCGCCAACAAAGTCCAAGGAGAGTCTGAGCAAAGTTCTGCCACTGCGCTGGTCCTTTGGCTCCAAGGATCGCATTAAACACCCAACACCGACCCGGCCTGGGGAGCTGGTGGAGTACCTGGAGTCTGGGCGCCGGCCGCGGTGTACCAAAGACCCCATCATCCAACTGGTGGCCACCCCACCACAAAGGACTACCCAGCGAAGAGCCTTCAGTGTGGGACAGGAATGCGGCTCGCCCAGTGGCAGCAGCCTCAGTTGCACAGACAGACCCTGCTCTGACACTTGTTACTCGCCCAAACTGCCAGAGGGACAGAGCCGAGCCTGCAACAGCAGCAAAGCCAGGGATGATGGTTCTCTGAGGCAGAGGTTGTCCAAGAGAGCGAGGCAGGACCAGGGCAGGACCCTTGACCTCCAGCTGCACAGAGGACTCATTCTAGAAGGTCAAATCAGCCACAGTGCACCTCAGAGCAGAGACTCCACTCTGAAGAGAACCAAGGTCCAGACAGGGGTGACGTTCAGGCCTCAAAAAGACTTGGTACATATGATCATTCAATCTGAGAACAGGGGGGGGCAGGAGGGTCGCAGCCAGGACAGCCTCTTGTCTTTTTTCAAACCTGGTTTCATAAGGAAAGGCATTCTTAGGTCACCACACAAGGGGCAAGAACGGCGTGTGAATGGCCACGGACCCCTGGAGAAGCTGGCAGGAAGTCATTTAGCCAAACTGTCCCTCTCTAACGGGACGCTGACCACGGCGACACACGAAGACGGGAAGACCGGTGGCGTCCCCGGCTGTGACAGACACAACTGCAAAGTGCATCTGCTGAACGGAAAGGCTGGAAAACACGAGGCTGTGGACATCCAGCGCGCTCACAGCTCCAGCAACATCCAGGCGAAGATGGATTTGACTTTCCGCAGGTGTGCCTCCCTGCAGAGGAACGGCGAAGTCGCGGCACATCCGGAGCACCGCATCCTGCTGTCGGACAAGCCGGGCTACGCTACTCTGCAGCGGACGCGCTACAGTACCACCTCCCTGGGTAGGCACCGACCCGTCCCCGAGCACTGAACCCGCACTGCACGCTTAGACTAGATTCCGACACTCGACACACAGCGGTAGGAGCTGTTGAGGCTCTTTCTCAGCTGGTGTCAAACGAGCACAAACATCTCTGTGCACAGAGAATTGACGACAACGTGTCCGAGATGAGACGCTTCCTTGCTGCTGTAATAAAAAAATGCAGGAAATGAGATGTGACGTGTGGTATCATTACAAAACAAGTGTTTGTGGTAAACGCAGATCCAAGGTCAGTTTTCTAACGATCATGAATATCAATCATAAGCTGTGTCTCAACTCAGACGCCTCTTTCTTCTGAGGACCACAGAGACCACCTCCTTCATGAAGTTGGACACGATGACAAAGTTTGAAGGTTTTTTTTTTTTTTTCGATACAAGCACCTTCAGCTGTTTGTTTGAGTTGAAGCGTGATACTCTCTGAAGTGCAATGAATTCTGGGGAAGGTGGGGCCAGTTAGTTTCCACCAGTTGGACACATTAGTCGTCTTCAAGCCTCCGAAGGACGTATTTCCTGATTTGAGACACAGCTACAGTGATTACTTCAGCGGCTTGTTACCGTGTGACTGATTGTTTTGTCTTGTTTTTTTTTTAAAGTGCCTCTGTGACAGCCCAGAATGACTTTTGAACACTAGGACCTCTCTTCTGATCTCGGCGCACGGAGAAGCCGCCCAGCTCGACGCATCGCTGGAGACAGAGCAGATCTTCTCTCTCCCTGTCATAGTACTGTTATAAGTTCTTACCTGTGTGTGTCTTAAACTCAATCTATGCAGTTAACGAGGAGAGAAACTGCTGGAATGAAGATGGGCTCTAGTTTAACCAAACAGCCGTCAATAGGTGGTTTTATTCTGAAAGGCAGAGAGTGATTTGATTGGTCCATTATACGTCATGAAAAGCAGCAGAGTAAAAAAAACACTGGAGTCTTTGGAGAATTTACGGTTCAATGGGCTCAAACATGTATTAACACGTGCACTGTAAGCTGCCAATCAGCTGCTGAAACAACACGCACCACGGCTTTGTCATGTATGATGATTTTACTGTTATATTACCATCGCACTTTCTTTTTTTCTTTTTTTTATTCCATATGTCGCTACGTGACCAGAGTTAACATGCTGATGAGGCTAATTTCTAATTTAGAGGCAATTATACCAAAAGTGGCACAAAAAATTAAATTGTACGATCCACGAATAAAACCAAGATTTAGAAATGTGTCACATTCACACACACACACACACACACACACACACACACACACACACACACACACACACACACACACACACTGTGTTTGAGTAAGCACCACAGACAGTCAACATACCTATTTAATTCACAGTCCTTGTTTCTGTAGCTGCACCACTGGTCTGGGAGACAAACAAAAGTTCAACACGACAAATTAAACTTCATGACTTTTTCTTTCTTTTTTTCAATTTACATTTTTAGTTAACGTGTGCATCGTTTGTGTGTCACTGGGGATTATAACGGAGAAGAAACCAGTGTGAGAGTGTAACTGTTGTACTCACATTTCATGTTGTGTCATTTAACATTACTGTTTAACTACTCTACCAAAATGAAACGATCGCGAGTGAAGGAAGTTTCTGAGACGTTACTCTGGAAATATGGCTAGATTATATTTTATTATTAACTTTTTTAAAAGTCTACAATTTTTACCTGATGTGTAATATTGTAATTTAAGATCAGAGCTGTGTGTTTCCGGTTTGTGTGTCGGGTCGGGTTAATACAAACAGTAAGTGGGGTTCATTCGGACACAACACACTAAAGTCCCTGTACTGGACTGTCTACAGTATAATGTCTGCTTCTTTTATGGATTGCAAATTAAACACAGAATTTCTCACAAATAAATTCGCTGTCGCTGGTTTATGACAACATGGAGGTTTTGTTATTGCTCTCATCTTGAGACTCACGACAGTAAATACTATTTTACTGATGTATAATCACACTGACGCCTCGCTAATGACCTGTCCGTCCCTGTGTCAGCCAGTCAAACATCACAGGAGGAATGGAAACCCTCCACTAGGTGTCAGCATTGTCCAGGTATTAAAATGTCTTCTGTGGCTGATGGACGTGTCAGAATTAAAAGCAGATGTCAAGAGAATGAAAAAACAAAGAGTTTTTAATGAGATGAAGAGGTGATGGACTTTAAAGGCCTCTGGTCAGTGTCTGGATAGAAGCATCAACACACCGGACGTCCTCAGCCAACAAGCATACACAACAGTATATAT